AGCGACTGCCCTAGAACATGGGACCACTGAGCCACCTCGCACCTATGACCAAAAAACCACAGGCCATGAGGCAAAAAGAACTACACATTGGTTCTTACTAAAGACAAGAGCAGAAGGGAAGGGGTGTCTCTTGGACAAGACTACCTTGTTCCTTCACAAAGTTGGCCTGAGCAGAGTCAAACAGTCATGCCCACCTGACAGGCCTGAGGGGAAAGCACGCTGCTCAGGACCTCAGCTTGGCCACGAGGTGAGAAGGTGCTCTAGCCATGTCATCTTGCTGACTATCTAACCATGAGAGGCTGGAACCAGTGTCAACTCCTTGAAGGCCCTGAGGGCTGGGATCCTCCTCCTAGGTCACATACCTCCTCAGGGGCCACTCGCAGCTCCTCAGTGTACTTTCTGATCACCTGCTCCGGCTCAGGCTTAGGCACCCCTTCTGGAAGAGAGTGGGTGTGAGTGTTGTCCTGGCCTGCAAGATGGGGAGTGCAATGCTGAGGAAGGGAGCAGGCAGGCAGAAGTTCCAGCTGCGAGGGGGAAAGGTTAGCAGGGCTGAGACAGGAGTTAGCTCGAAAGACAGGGCAGCCTCCACACAGGTGCAGGGCGCTGACACACACCCGGGTTACCTGCTTAGGAGCAGGGCTGCTCCAGCAGGGGACAGCACGGAGGTAGAGAAGGATCGTAACAGAGCAGCATGTTTCCCTGAACCATGTCCCCAGGAAATCACCCCAGAATGTCGAAGGGCGGCTCTGAGAGCAAAGCACCCCAGCAAATTCTGGAGGTGGCGCCTGTCCAACTATCAGCAGTCTTAGGAGGAAATTTCAGTGAGAGAGGTAGTTTCCAGTCTAATGGGTTTGGGAGGGAGCAATGTGAGCATGTGTGAACACTGAAAATGCTGTCACAACACATCACCCGACCCTGGGACTCAAAGATCTGGGTCCCAAGCTGACCGGGCTCTGAAGCCAAGTGACCCGGGAAGTAGCTGGCTGAGCTTGAGTGCATGAAGCTTAGGGGAGACCTGACCCAGAAACTAGAGCTCTCCAAGGAGAAAAAGAGTTGGGACAGAATAGGCAGCAGGGTCTCAACTGCAGCCAAGCCAGAGAAGGGGCAGAAAAGGGACCAGGGAGAACAGTGCAGGCCTCCCGCAGCCACCGGCCAGAGGCTCCGCTGTCACAGGAGGTCACAGTGGGGCTCCTGTTTGAGACCATCTTGCAGCCCTCAGCCCTTGGCTGCCAAGAGTTATAATCTGAGAGCTGGACCACAGGCCTCCTCCAGCCCAGAGAAACACAAGACAGCCACATGGACAAGTGCCTCAGTACAGAAGCTGCAATCAGGGACATGGGGTTTGATCTAGTTCATTGCTATGTCCAAATCCTACTACCTCAAAGACTGAGAAGTTGTCATTGGTAGAAGTATCAGCTGTTAGTTCCTGGGCAACGCAGAAACCAGCAGAGGGTATCACATATACCCCATATAAGCCTTATGCTCACCAAAGACAGACAGACAGACAGACAGACAGACAGACACACACACACACACACACACAAAATACCCTTATCTCTCACAATCCCAGCAAAACAATCATACTCTGGCCACTGGCAAAAACAAACAAACAAAACAGACAAAAAGACCAACAATACTGTAGCTGCCACACAAGGAACCAGGGGGCCTTTGAGAAAAGCCCTGTTAGTCAGGCCTGGTGGAACAATACCTTGAAGTAGCCTTGGGTATACAGCAACAGCTTGTCTCAAAAATAGAAGACAGAAAGGCCCCTGGCTACACAGAGCATTCTCCAGGTTCCCTCAGGACCCCTCATCCAGTACTAGCTCCTGACCTCCCTCTGCTCGGGACCATCTAAGCATTTTGCTGCCAACACAGCCTCGTAGGGCTGAAAAGAGCTTTGGTTACTGGCATTTTTCAAAGCGGGCCCGGTCAGCCACATAAGAGGCACCTACACCCAAGAATTCCAGAGGGGCTGCTAAGTGTCTGTGTTCTTCCAAACAAACTGGGTGTACCGAGAAGATGCCAGCCTGCCTGGCCCACAGATCTGCAGAAGCAGGGTACGAGTGTGTGCAGACGGCTGGGGCTGTCGACTTAGTTGGTACACCATTTGCCTAGCCTGCATGGAGCCCTCTCTGGGTTTCAAACTCAATGCTACATGAACTGGGCATGGTGGTGCATGCCTGTAACCAATGCTTGGGAAGTGGTGGCAAGGTGGTCAAAGTTCAAGGTCAGTGAGGTCCCTGAAAGAGACAGCAGGCTTACCATCTGTAGCAAACATTGCGAAGTTACACATGTCCTCAGGGATAAGCCCATCATCCAACAATGTCCAGATGGTAAAAAGCCAGTAGCCACCTCTGCTGGCAGACAGGGCAGGGAGAGAAGGTGCAAAGGTAGAGAAGGGCCATAGCGGGCCAAGAAGAGAGTCCAGGCAGCAAGATCTGGAGGAAGCTGAGCAGGGCTAGAGAGTGTGTGTGAACTGGAACTACCTTTCACGGACATTTTCCTCAGCCTCTTAACTGAGCTGTGACCTTTAGAGGCCGGATGCAAGGCCGGAGGGCCGGTGGGCCGGGGTGCGCGGCTAAGGCACACAGGGAGTCCAATGGCTGACAGCACACTCGTCATGCCTGCACGGTGCGAGATCAGACATGCAGAGGGACAAACGTTAGAAGGAGGCATTCCACACCCGGTGTTCATGGCCCTGCTGGGGGTGAAGTGCTGACATTGTAAACAGCCATCAAGACCAGAAATCTCCCCAGGAGAGGCGAGCTGGTCACTTGAAGGATGCCAGCGCCTCCCTAGACCAGCAGTGCAGTGCTCCAGGCCAGACACTAGAGAACCAGAACCCAAAGTTGCCCAGGAGTCTGCACAAGCAACTGCCGAGCCTGTGCCAGGCACAGGGAAAGAAAAGACAGGGATGTGGCAGGGTGCAGCCAAGCTGTGGAAACAGGGGGTAGCTCCAGCAGCTCTGGCTCCAGGAGCCTGGAATCTTCCCGTGACCCTGGGCTAGAGCCACATGGCCTGCCTGTGCCCTCTTGGCCTCTAGTGAGATGCTGTCCACCAGCTGGTCACAGCCCTTCTGGACTGTGTGGGTAATAATGAGAAGCGCTGATACCAAGTGTCAGCTCTACAGGCTCTACAATCAGCAGGAGACATGCCTTGGAACACATCTGTGAGAGTCTCCATATTAACGAGGTTAACTGAGGCAAAGACCTCAGACTGCAGGCATCTCTGTCCCCTGGGCTGCCCACCGGAAAAGAAGAAGGGAAGCTGGGCCACCAGCACCCACCTCTGTGGCTTCCTGACTGGGGATGTGACATGACCAGATGTCTTCCCCACCATGTCCTTAAACTATGAGACAAAATAAACCCGATTCTTCCTTCCTCTCCCTCCGTGGCTTTTTGTTTGATATTTTGTCACAGCAAGGAGTAAAGTAACCAATATTCAGCTTCAGCGACACTGCTGAGGTGGAACAGTGATCCACGGGACTGCTCCCACACTGAAGCCACCCCAGAGCCCCCAGCTGTGGCTTCCTTTGTCTACTGGGAAAAAAATCAGCAGTAGGCACTGGTGTAGACCCTAGAAAAGCTCCTGTTTCCAAACCACAGGACTACCCCATATTTGGGACCCATACTTTTCCTAGATGCTATTCCTTTCTCTATACTCTCTGGTAGCCAGATATTTCCTAGGAAAGAATGTTGTTCTCTTGCTGGAGGTCCTTGTCCCCGCCACACTGTCACCCAACACAGCCACACAAGCAAATCTCCCCTCCCCCACTTCTTAGTCTGGCTCCAAAGGCCCTCCTTCCAGGAGTGGATGCCCTGGCTTCTTAGCCACCTTGACAGCACCTTTCCTGGTCCTGTGAACAGACTTCCAGGGCTGCCCTCCCACGTGCCACTCCTTCCCAGGACAGGATGAACTGGAGAGCATCGCCTGCAGCAGAGCTGTTGCAGAAGGGCTGATGGGCAGCCAGGGCCACTGATCTCAAATAGGCAATGAGTGGGCTGCACAGGGGACAGATGCCGAGGCAGGCTGGGCATCATGTGGTGGCTCAGGAGGGGCTTACCAGGGGGACCACCAGCATGGGTCACCCAAGGATCAGCCCACTCTAAGGATGCTCCTGGGCTCAAATGCAGTTCCCACAGGACATCGGGATTATGTGGCAAAAGAACAAGGAGGTGCAAGTGGCAAAAAGATGAAAGGGAACAGGGATGGATCAGCTTTCCTTCACGGAACCCGGATATTTTCCAACGACCCTGACTAGGATGTGGGTCCCACCAGCATCCTGCTTGGTTGTCAAGCAGGTGACAGGTGATGGACTTGCAATGGTTAATGCTGTCAACCTGACAGGACCTAAAAACACCTGAGACACTGATCACCGCACACCTGAGAGGGAGGTTTTAAGACTAGGTTAACTACGGTGGGAAGACCCACCCTAACCACAGGCAGCACCATTTCCTCGCCTTGGACTGACTAAAAAGGAAGAAGCCAGCTGAGCACCATCCTTCAACTCTCACTGCCTGCAGACTGTCCGCAATGTGGCCGGCCGCCTCACACGACTGCTGCCGTACTTTCCCACCTTAATGGACTGCACCCCTGGAACCATAAGACCAAGACCTAAAAGACCTCCATACTTACACCGCCTGCCAGGTACTTAGTCACAATGACAAGGAGAAGTAACCAATACAGTGATGCTTCCCTCATGTCCCAGGAGCTGAGCAAGCGTCTCTCAGCAGATGCGGGTGAGGCCCCACGTCACTGCCACCTCAGCTTCTTCACTGTGCTCCATTTTCCTCCTTTGCACCTAGCTATCTGAACCCACTCAGGTTTGATTTCACTGGTGTCATTCCCTCAGCATTAGCCCTATAGGATAAGGATGCTATTGACCTACTAATGTCTGCCCAGCATCCCAGGCACTGCACCTATGTTGGAGGCCTGGTACTTGTCTACAGAGGAACAGAGACAGCCCCTGGACCACCACTATCAGCCCTCAGGAACCAAGTCTCAATATTCCTGCTCCTCTAACATAGAGCCCAGCCCTACAACTCCAGACACACACACACACACACATACACACACACACACACACACACACACACACACACACCCTACATCAGAATGAGGATGCTTGGAAGGAGAGTGACCTCAGGGGTGGGGATATGGCTCAGTTGGCAGGATGTTTGCCCATCATGCATGGCATTCTGAGTTCCATCCTCAATGCTCCAAAGCTGGGCATGCTGGTGCACCCCTGTAATTCCAGCTCTCAAGAGACAGAGAAAGGAAGATTAGGAATTCATGGTCATCCTCAGCTACAGTGAGTGAAGTTAGCCTGGGCTACGTGAGACTGTTTCAAAAACAAAAAGTTCCTCCTTCACAGTTACATCATGATGAAACATGAACACCCAAGGGCCACATCACTGTCTTGCTGACAACGCTATCCACTAGGTGAACGTTGCAGGATGACCCTTTCCTGCCTCCCATGACCTCTCTAGATGCCAAGCTGAAAGGTTCTTCCTTCCAAATGGTTGAAACCAAACCTCCTCCTGCACTCTGCTGAGATGGACTTTGGCCTACGTGTGAGGCCAGGCTGCACGTGGCTTCCTTGTCCATAGGCTTGCACTGTCTACCCACCCAGTGCAACTACAGGGTTGCAAACTAATTCCCTGCATCAGCTGTAAATGACCAAGAGTCACTGCACTGTCCCATCTTCCTTTCTTTCTTTCTTTCTTTTTTTTTTGCCAAGTATGATGGTGCATGGCTTTAACCACAGCCCTCAGGAGGCAGAAGCAGGCAGATCGCTGTGAATTCAAGGCCAGCCAGAGCTACATAGTGAGACCCTGCTTCAAAGATTTCTTTTTAATTATGGATCTATTTGTGTCTATGTTTGGGTATATGCACATGAGTGACGCTACCTATTGAGGACAGAAGTGGGTGCTGGATGCTTTGGAGCTGGACTTATAGGCAGTTATGAGCTGTCCAGTGTGCATGCTCAAAAAAAAAGTATTTTCTTTTAGTGTATGAGTATGTATGCCTGCATGCCTGTTTATGTACTGTGTGTGCGTGCCTGGTGCTTGAAGAGGTCAGAGGACAACACTGGAACTGCAGTTACAGAGTTGTTAACTGCCACGTGGGTGCTGGAAACAAGCCTAGTTCCTCTACAACTGTATCAAGTCAAGCACTCTTAAGTGTTGAGTCATCTTTCCAGCTGTCTTCTTTTTCATCCACATCACACGTGGGGTGATAAAGTACCAGCATACACGGTTACAGAGAGCTTCATGGGCTCCAAAGGGGTCTTTTCATATCCTACAGTCTCTCTCACACAAAGGCCAAGGGCACCACACTTCCTCTGAAGACAACTCTCCTGAAATGGACAGCCACACTCCCAGTACCCCTGGACTGTTCCACCTATCAAGACCACATCCACCATCTTGTCTAATGCTCTTGCCATAAGTCAGGACACCAATGTATCACAAAGCTAGGGGTTGTACCCTGTCCCAGTACAAGGTGGGTATTAAGAAAAAAAAAGACTTCAAACCAGACAGAATCCAGGAGGCTAAGACAAGAAGGTCAAGAAATTGATGCCAGCTTGGGTTATATATTGAGATCCTCTTTCAAAACAAAAACTGTAATTACAACAGCCAGGAGGCTGAGGCATTGGGTTTATGGGTTCAAGGCCTACATGGAGTCCCTGTCTCAAACAAAACAAGGTTTGGGGCTTGCTTGACATGCACAAAGCCCTAGGCCCTCATAAAGCAGGCACAGTGATAAACGATAGTAATCCTGCCACCTGAGAAGTGCAGGCAAGGAGGACCAGGAGCTCAAGGAATTCTGCCACCAGCCCGGGATACATGAAGAATGGAGCCAGGTGGGAGGCTTGGTACGACAAGGTACTTCCATCAAAGCCTGATGACTTGAGTTCGATCTTTGGGATTCACATGATAGGAAGAGAGAACTGACTCTTACAGGCTGTTCTCTGCTCTCCATACATGCTCCACGTATGCTTGCAACCACTTCTAGACACAAATAAATGCAAATTTTAAAAGGTTTAAGGTCTGGGAAGATAGTACAGTTGGACAAACAAACAAACAAGCAAACATTACTGTGCCTAAGTATGAGGAGCTAAATTTGATGCCCAGAACTCACATAGGCCCATAGCTGAGAGGTGGTGACACGTACCTTTAATCCCAGCACCTGGGAGGCAGAGGCTGATGAATCAAGGCCAGCCTGGTCTACAGAGTGAGTTCTAGGACAGTTAGGGCTACACAGAGAAACCCAGTCTGGAACACCCCCCCACCAAAAAAAAAAAAAAGGAAGCTCTGCCCAGTGGTGTGCATTTGTAATGTCAGGCTGGGGAAGCAGGGACAGTCAGATCCCTGAGCCGGCTAGGTAGTCAGCCAGTCTTGCAGAACCTGTGAGTCCCAGGCCAATGAGAGACTGACTCTTAAAACACAAGGTGATCAGCTGCAGTAGATTACAACCTGGATCCTCTGGATCCATGCTCACACAAAACAAGTTCAAAGACAAAATGCCAAGACCCATGGGCTGGAGAGAGAGCTCTGCAGTTAAAAACACTTGCTGTTCTTGAAAAGGACTCAGGTTGGTTCCTAGCACCCACATGGCAGCTCATAACTGCCTGTAATTCTAGTTTCAGGGAATCTGATACCTTCTTCTGGCCTTTTCAGGAACCTGCACTCATGTGGTATACATACATAATACACATGTACATACATACATATATACGTTCAGGCACATCCATATAACATAATAAAAAAAAACCTTGAAACACATACACACACACCTAACTAGGGCCAAGAGGTCTCACGACTCCCTTGAAGTCCTGTGAAGAAATGCTCTAACTACAGTTGAACCGAATCAAATACTAGAAAGGTCTCCGGCAGACCTGATGCCTGCTCTCCTCCCCCAGCCCAGGGGCTGCAGAGCCTCCTAGACTTGCTTTCTGGGTGGGTATACCAATTACCCCATAAGGGCACTGACCTCCAAGAAGTCACTTTGGATTTCCCCGAGGACCCAAAGGGTGACAGGCCTTCACTCCACCATCCCCTCCCCGCTAAGCCCCGTGGGTCATCTGTTAGGACACTTACCGGCTAGTGCCTGCTGAACCCTGCTGGGCTTTGGCATCTGCACTGGCACAGTGGTGGGGGCGCTCCCTGGGCTGCTGGAGGAGGGACCGCTTGGGAAGGAGGCACTTGAAAAGAAAAGAGAGCAAATTCAGTCGATGGTAGAAGGCTGGGCGGTGAATCTGCAAGCCTGGGAGCTTCTCTGGCTGTACTTTCTTCCAAGCCTGTGGGTGGAGGCCTGAGTGCTGTGTCCTCGGGCAGTTCAGAACTCTTAAGACAAGGCTTCAACCAGCGTTCAAGTGGATGTTAAAAAGGCATTTTGGGCCAGTGCGAGCAGAGGGGAAGTGTTGGCAATGGTGCAGGCCTGTAATCCCAGCACTGGGGGAGGCAGAGGCAGGCAGATCTCTGTGAGTTTGAGGCCAGCCTGGTCTATAAAGAGAGTCCAGCACAGCCAAGGCTACACAGAGAAACCCTGTCTCAAAAAACAAAAACAAAAAAGCATTGTCACTTACATAAAGTGTTCGAATTAAAAACTGAAACACACACACACTAAAAGCATTAAGAGCAATGAGGTGGTTGCTCTGAGCTCAATTCCCAGAACACACAGGGTGGAAGCAGAGAACCAATCCCTGCCAACTACCATCTGATCCTCATGTGGGAATGGCATGTTCATCCCTACACGCTAGATAAATACATATATGCAAAAAAAATTAAGGGCTCTTAGCTGGATATCTCAGACACGCTTGTAATCCCAGCACTCATGAGACAGAGGCAGGAGATCTGACAGGAGTTTAAGGCTGGCCTGGTCTATATAATAAATTCAGAGGCCGCCCATGCTACATGGGGAGACTGTCTCAAAAGGCCAACACAAGACAAGAACAAGCCAGGGGAGCTCTCAGGGTCTGCATAAGCAGGCCAGCCACTGTACCAGGTAATGGAGCAACACTGCCCATTTACTGAGACCTTGTTTCTATGTAAAAAGAGGACTTTTTGCTGGGTGTGGCGGTACACCATTTTAATCCCAGCACTTGGGAGGCACAGGTAGGCATAGCTCTATGAGCTCAAGGCCAACCTGGTCTACAAAGTGAGTTCTAGGACAACCAGGGCTGTTACACAGAGAAATCCTCTCTCAAAAAAGAATTAAAAAAATAAAAATAAAAAAATAAAGGGCTTGGGTAGCTAGTGAGATGGCTCAGTAGGTAAAGATACTTGCTGACCAGACTGATGACCTGAGTTCAAGGCCTGAAGCTGATACAACGGAAAAAAAGAGAATTCACTCAGGAAAGTTGTCCTCTGACTTCCATGTACACATAAATAAGCACAAGTGAATGTGTACATATGCATGTGTACACACAGAGAATACACACATAAACGTAAAGACTTGACGTAAACCCTCAGTGGTAAATCTTTGCCTACCATGACTGTGGCCCTAGGTTCAACTGCTAATTCTACAAAATAAATGGATGCATGAAAAGATCACATGGGAATACCACAAGCAAGCCATTCTGGTTTGACGCAGAGCTCTACTTTGAGAACAGTTGGCTGAAGGCCTGAGTTCCCGCCAGCTCCTTCTCTCCCCCCCCCCCCACTGCTGGGGGGCCTTCTGGGTCCTTCCCCTCATCCCTGCCCATTCGGATGAGGAAATGTGAAGATTACACAACCTTCCTATGTGGTCCCACACAAGGGAGCTCCTCAGGGCCAGGCCTACAACATGGAAGGCACTTGGGCACAAAGGCTGGGCACTATCTGGCTCCTGTACAGCTACAGGCACACCAGCCACTGCCTCCAGCCAGGGCCTACCCCAGACCTGCCACACAGCCAGCCACAGCTCACAGAAGTGAGGGTGACTACTGCAGGCAGCTGCTGCTCTCATCCAGCCAGGAAGCCACACACTCAACTGCAGCTGAGGGAGAGCCTCCTTCAGGGTCTCAAACACAACAGTGCTTCAGGACTGGCCTGAGTGACCAACAGGTTTTATTTGCCAGGCAGTGATGTTGCACGTCTTTAACCCCAGCACTTAGGAGGCAGAAGCAGATGGATCTCTGAGATTGAGGCGAAAGAAAGAAAGAGAGAGACAGAGAGAGAGAGAGAGAGAGAGAAAGAAAGAAAGCCAAAAAGGTTTTATTTGATTTCCTAAATTTCTCTGCAAATAAGATAGCCTCATATCTCATGTGGTGGAGCTTCCTATCCCCTTTATTCTCAGCCCCCCAAAAAGGCTGAGGGCTTTTTCTGTTAAAGCCAGAGCTGGGATGAGGTATAGACACTATCCATGTAAGCTCCATCCCCCTCTGAACCTTTTCCTACCTTTTTCCTTCACCTATGGTAACATGCAGCCCAAGCTGGCTGAAGATGACCCTGAACTCTGGCCTCCAACTCTGGAGGATTGAAATCATAGGGGGACACTACTGAAATGCATTTACACAGTGCTTAAGATTACACTCAGGACTTCCTAGGCAAGATTCTGCTAATGAAACTATAGCCCCAGCTCATGTGCCCCTCCCCCTTTTAGATAGCCTCATATGTATTCCAAGCTGTCCTTGAACTCACCATGTAGCCCAGGCTGTGCTCAAACTAAGTGCTAGGATTACAGATGCTTGCCACCATAGCAGGCTTCTCCCCCGATTCCTCCCTGCCTCCTCCAACCCTCAAATGGGTCTCTGTGACGTGAATTACTCAGATGTTCCACAAGTGAATCAGCAGAGCATGATAACATATACCTGTAAACCCAGCATTCTGGAAGCAGAGCCAGGAGGGTCACCCTAAGTTTGAGACAAGACATAGTAAATTCCAAGCCAGCCAGGGTCACACAGCCAAGACCTTGTTTTAAAAGACAAAAATAAATAAATACAACAAACAAGCCCTTCAGCCCAGTCACCTCTCCAGAGAGCAATGAACTTGAGCTCTGCATCAAGAGTGCCAGAGAAATCAAAGGTCAGCTTGAGGAAGTTGTCTACGAGAAAAGCCCGTGGTCCCACAGAGATGGGGTCCCTGGCTACTGCCCATTTCCAGGTCTTCCCTCACCAGGAAGACACACTAATGGGGAGAGGAAGCTGAACTCCACACCAAACAGAGCGGAGGAAATGAGACAAGGACTCCAAGTCTGCGTGATATCACATGTGCACATGCGTGTTTTTATATGTATGTGGCAACATGTGGACATCATGTCTGACATCATCCTCAATTGGTCTTCTACCGTATTCACTGAGAAGAAATCTATCAATCAAACCCCGGAGCTCACCAACGAATGGTCTTCCCCTTTCAGAATGGAATTTCAGAAGGACTGCCACAGCTGCCAGGCATTTGTGTGGTTTTCTGGGGCTCTGGGTACCTTTGTTTGTTTTGTTTTTCTGTGTAACAGTCCTGGCTGTCCTGGTCCTATAGACCAGGCTGGCCTTGAACTCACAAAGATCTGCCTGCCTCTGCTTCCAAAGTGCTGGAATTAAAGGCGTGCGCCACTACACCCAGCCCATCTCTACATTTACTAATCAAGAGCTTCAGTCACAGCGCCACATCCCCATCCTGATGCTCAATGCTCTATAGACAGTCCCAGGCAAGGGGGAGGCTCAGGCAGGAAGAAATCCAAGTCGTCCACCCCCAACCCTGGACTTGGGGCCACACTTAGCTCCAATTTGGACAGTGTCAAGGACAGTCTCTGAGGTGACACTATGAAATGGGCATGCCAAGTCCCACTCTGGTGCTCCCATTTCTATATAGGGTGGTGGGTAGGATGAACACCAGAGTCCAGTGTAAAGATTTTAAGACACCCCCCCCCCATCTTCCAGGAACAGAATAAAGACAAAGCAGGACCCCAGGCCCTCACTGAATATAAAGAACCACAGCAGCATAAGAGAAAAAGGGACATTCAGGGGTCAGCAAGATGCCTTAGTAAGGTAAAGAGCCTGCTGCCATGCCTGAGGACCAAGCATTTGATCCCTGGGAACAAAATGATAAAGAGAACTGATTTTTACAAGTTGTCCTCTGACCTCCATGTGTGCCATGGCACATGTATGCTTGTTTGTCTGTGTATGTGGACACACACAAACACACATGAATGGAATGAAAAATATTTAAAAATAGCCAAGCATGGAGGTACATGCCTTTCACCCTAGCACTCAGGGGGCAGAGGCAGGTGGAATTCTGTAAATCTGAGGCCGACCTGGTCTACACAGTGAATTCCGAGACAGCCAGAGCTACACAGTGAGACCCTGTCTCAAAAAATAAGTTAGTTAATTAAATACAATAAAGAAGGGCTGGAGGGATGGCTCAGAGGTTAAGAGTACTGGCTGCTCTTCCAGAGGTCCTGAGTTCAATTCCCGTAACCACATGGTGCCTCACAACCACCTATAATGAGATCTAGTGCCCTCTTCTGGTGTGCAGGTGTACATGCAGGCAGAACACTATATACATAATAAATCTTCTTAAAAACTTAAAGAAAAAACCTGGACCTGCAACATCCAACACCCTAATCTTGATAATCTTGAAGAGGACACGAGAACCAGGGACACAAACCCACACTGGCTGACCCACGGACCCACAGCAAGAGTAAGGCAGAGGCAGAGTATATCCACAGTTCCAGTCACATAGGCGGCGGCAGACAGACTCCCAGGGCAGTGGCATTGGGAGAGGGAGGCCCTCAGAGCAGCAGCAAGAACACAGCAGATGCTGCTGGGTGTGGTGGCTCACACTTGTAATCCCAGCAGCCTGGAGACTGAAGAGGCTCGTGGGTTCAAGCCAACTTGAGTTACACACTCTCCAAAGCAGCTGACTACACAGCAAAATCCTATCCTCTAAACAAAAACAAAAAAATGTGGGGAAGGGAGTTGGTGGTGGTGGGAAGTGTGAAACAGCTCAGTGAGTAAAGACGCATGCCGCTACGCCCGAGGACCCGAGGCCATCCTGAGTCCCCACATACGGAAACAGACAAACAGCTCCAAGAGCAATCCTTTTACCTCTACATCTGCAGTCTGGCAAGTGCTGCATACTGGTGCATCCTTAGGCTGGCCTCAAACTCTGCCTCTCAGGTTTTGAGTTTTTGTTTTTTTATAAATACTCAAGGGACACTTTTTTAAAATTTTATGTTATGCACAGAAGTTTCTTGCCTGCATGTATGGCTGTGAGGGTGTCAGATCCCCTGGAAGAGGAGTCACAAATAATTGTGAGCTGCTATGTGGGTGCTTGGAATTGGAACTCGGGTCCTCTGGAAGCACAGCCAGAGCACTCCTGCCCTGGACCTGACTTTTATGTGCATGTGAAAGTATGTCCACAGCACACAAACACACAGGCACCTACACATTCACTCTCATCTGACATAACTTTACAATCGTATGTCAGGCCGCATTCCTGGCTAGCCTCAGCTGGATGAAGCCTGTGGGGCACAAGCTGGACACACCTGGCTAACGTTGCTAAGCTGCCAGACCTCGTCACCACCTTCAATCAAACGCTGAGCAAGTTGTCCTGCCCTGCTTTATAGAGATGGGTGTGAGCATGACACATTTTGGAAAGTTTTCCAGCACCCTCATTACAGCACGTGTTTTGCTGCTTAAAGGGATAAAAGTTCAGCTACAAGGAAATGTAGGAATAGCCAGAAGCTCAATTACGAACAACACAGCTTTTGTCTGTGTTGTTTTGCATGTTCCCAGGGGACATAGCCAGTTTCACCTAAACTAAGCAAAGAGGGATGGGAAACCACATATGCTTTAAAAACAAAGGGGGAGAGGAGATTTTCCACAGAAGCCTGGGATGTCGGAAGCTCATCAGCAGGCAGAGTTCTCAGGCTTCCCCAGCCCTGTGTGCTCTCTTCAGACTGGCCCTGCCTGCCCCGCCACCTCCTTCCTCCACAGAGGCCTCTGCAAACTCTCACCCAATGCTGCTGACCCTCACTTGGTTCTGAGACCTGTTACCACAGCCCCTGGGGAGACCAAGGGGCCAAATGTTTGCATTTTTCCCAGTGGCAGCTAGGGAAAAGAGACCGAGTAGGGGAGTGAGGGTGGCTAGCAGAGAGCTTAAGGAAAGCCACAGAATAAATTAGATCTGGAAGAATGGCGACATGCCACCAAGCCTAAGGACCCGAGTGCAATCCCCAGGGTCTACATGGCAGAAGGAGAGAACTGACTCCAAGAGGTTGTCCAAGCACACTCCAAGCACACCAACCCTCCCACACATACAAAATATATACTAATTTATATTAATTTTTTTAATGTAAAGAGATATGGGTAAACGCTTGGTGGTTCATACTACATAGGTCCGTGCAAGTGAAAGGACACCCCTCCCAGCTCCTGAAAGGCCTGAGGAAACACGGATGCACAGTGACTTATGCCAGAAAGCAGCCAGCCTGCTCGGAGGCTATCCGACAACACAGCAGGCTGGCCCAGTTCCTCCTGTCTTCTGTCGCCTGTCCAGCAGCAACAAGCTGGCCCAGTGACCTCCATCATCTGCCTGGCCTGCCAGGGTCCCAGCATGTCTGTACGCCTGTCAATGGGGAGGAGAGAGCCCCAACCTATGAGAGCCCCACACCAGGAGACAAGATCCAGGGCTCACTAGTCTGACTCACCCTGAAGCCCCAGTTAGAGCCCCACTGAGTTGCCTCAGCAGGGCTTGGTGGCTCACGTCTGTTTCTGGCACTCATGAGCTGAAGGTCTAAGAATCTGAGGACAGCCTGAGCTATACAGTAAATTCTAGGCCAGGCTAGAGAGTGAGACACTGCTTGGGAGAACAAGTAAAGGAGTGGGGAGAAAAAGAGCAGGAGAATGAGGAGCTGAGAAAGAAGAGGGAAGACAGGAAAAGAGGATAAGGTGGAGAGAGATTTACCTCAACTTGTAACAATTCACAAAGTTGAAACTCTGCCTCACACTGTCCCAGGCTGGCCACAGAGTCCCGTTCCCTCAAGAACTGACCCACATACTAGGCGTGAGTCACACAAGAGGGACAGCTCTGGGAGCCCCGCAGGCCCATGTCCATGTAGAAGCCTCAAGTCCTGGAGGAGGCCGGTCCAGGCCCTCTACTCTCCCTTGTCTAGCAGACCCCTCCTCGCTGCCCTGAGGTACCTCCCTCCCTCTGCTTTGCACACTCCAGACAGCCTCAATGCCTCTCTAAGTGCCCAAAGCAACTGACTGCTTTTCTTGTTAGGGTGCTGGCAGGCACCTGGGCACCATGCTAGTCAGGTGGTATACTACTGAGCCACAACTTCTCACTGGGGACCTCGAGGCAGATGCTCTACACCTGAGCCACACCCCAAGCATGGAGGATCTAGTAAGTCATTCTAACACTAAGCTACACCTGCAGGTCCTCACCTGCAGACACTGGGAAAATCTCTGATGTCCACCCCTGCCCTTGCAGAATAAAGCCCGAAGAGTAAAGCTTGCCAAGATAGCAAAGACTCAGGAGCTTGTATTTATTCACATGGGTTTTAGAGAACACTACTAGCTTTTGTAAGATGTCTCTGTGTGCATCTTTTTTTTTCCTTGATGGAGGTGCTGAAGACGGCAGAGTGATTGCCTAACACTCAGGAGGATAAAAGAGAAGGATGGAGAATTCCAGGCCTGCCTAAACTACAAAGGGAGAGGTTTTTCTAAAATCAAACAAAGAAGAACATAAAACCCCAGAGCCGGTGAGGTGGTTCAGCAGTAAAGGAGACTGCTGTCAAGCCTGATGGCCAGAGTTCAATCCCATACCCGTGTGGCAGGAGAAATCCAACTCACCGTGGCACTGGCACTCGGCCCCTCCCACACAAAAGAAAAGGTGAGAAGATAATTTCTCAAAAATGCCATCTGGCGGCTGGTAGCATACTCCTTTAATCCCAATGATTGGGAGGCAGAGGCAGGTAGATCTCTGAGTTCAAGGCCAGCCTGGTCTACAGAGTAAGTCCCAGGACATCCAAGGCTACACAGAAAGAACCTGTCTTGAAAACAACAACAACAAACAACAAAATACCATCTGGCATGGGGGCTGGAAAGATGGTCCAGCAGTTAAAACCATTCTCAGCACCACATGGTGTCTGTCTCACAGCCATCTGTAACCCCAGTTCTAGGGGATCAGACACCCTCTTGCGGCAGCAGGCGAGCATGAGCACCGCCACACATGCAAGCAAACTTAAAACAACGCCACCTGGCTTTGCCTGAGGGCGTGACCTATAACCCCAACATCTGGAAGACTGAGGCAAGACTGAATTCCAGGCCAGCCTAAGCTATTTAACAGGCACAGCGGGGGCCCAGTGCAGTGCAGTCCCCCCCCCCACCCCAGCCCCAGCTGGCAAGTGTAGAGCTCTGGGCTCCATCCCCAGCACCATGGACCCACTGGACTAAAAGCGCACACCACGGTGTGGAGGAGCCTCTGTCGTCAATCACCTTTCTCAAGTGCTGTCTCCCAGGGCCTCCACCTTCTCTGATCACGCTGGGGTCCTCAGAGCTAAACTGTGGGTTCATATCTGCACTGCCTGACGCAGGGCAGAAGCCAGTGAGTTCTCAGTTATTCAAAGTGTCAGGAAGGTACAGAGCCCCTGAGGCAGTCCATAAGCCCTGGCAAAGGTCTGCTGTACTCTGCGATTCTAAGAAAGGACTCCTGAGTACTGGGTAATGAATGGCCTGTAGCCAACACTAGGCAGGAAACTTGCTAGGGGTTCAGGGAGAGCCTGTCCTACATAATTGAGTTCTGGATCAGCCTGGGCTACAGAATGAGTCTTTTAAAACAGTAAAGACAGAGCTGGAGCTGGGCTTAACTGGCGAAGTGCTTGTCTGACATGTACAAAGCCCTGGGTTTGACCCCCCAGCAGTGGAGAGGTAGAGATGAGGATCAGAAGCTCAAGATCATCCTCAGCTACACAGGGAATTCTGAGGACAACCTGAGCTATGTTACATAAGACCCATCATAAATAAATAAATAAAAATTTAAAAAGAGAGACTACTGGTCCCAGGGCTGCCAGGACTTAACAAAGTGCCACAGTATGGCAGCTCCATAGGATGGCAAACTGGGAAACCAAGGAAGCTCAGCACATGTGTGGCACTTACAAGAGACAACACGCCAGGGGCAAGCAGGCGTGTAGATGCAAAGCTGAGGGAGAGGCTTTCCACATGGGTTAAGGCAAAGTTCCCACTGTGAGGTACCTGGCTCCACTGGAGGTGGACGGTCCTGAGGGCGGGAGCTGTGGCCCCAGGTGGGAGAGGCTGGAGTGGAGGAAGGACTGGCTGCCTGGAGTAGGAGGTGTTGCACCCCAGGGGTTGGTGGTGTTCAACCTGGGCGCAGACCTGGCCCCAGACAGTGAAGGTTTATTGTACGGGGCAAAGGCCTGGTGGGCCCCAAAGACAGCGGCGGTCCGTTGGGGTGCTTGGGGGGCAGGATACGCAGGCAGGTTGGTCATGGAGTGGCGGTAGCGACCTGACACGGGGCCAGTTCCGCTACCATGGAGGCACTGTTGGCAAGAGCAGACAAGTCCCATCTGGCCTGGGGGAGCGATGACTGAAGTCACCGGGTAAACTGGCCCCACTTGGCGTCGCACATTCCGACAGAAGCTGGAAGTCTTGTTGGTTTGCGTTAGGGTGGCATAGTTGACTGTGTAGTTATAGCCCAATGGGGCCAAGTCCACGACCTGGATGCCCCGGGCCACTTGCTGCTCCAGATAGTCACAGACACTAGCTTCATAGGCTATCCAGGATCCGTCATCACCCAGCCATTCCCAGACGATGCCCTGGCCTGGGGCAGAATTCTGAGAGAACAGGTGTCTGCGCACAGACCTCATGGTGCCTGCAGAAAGGGATCAGAACCCATGAACGAGAAGCCTCTTGCTGCTCCACATGCACACTGCAGGTGTGCACTGCCACACCCATCTTGCTGTGGGTATATGCATGCGCCAGTGTGCGTGTGTCGATGGCAGCTGTGCCTATGCATGTGTGTGCATCTGTCTGTCTGTGGCACGCCCATGGTATCAATATATGTCTGGTGTTTCTCTGGTTTGAATGTGTGTTTGTCTGTGTCTAAGTATCTGCGTCTGCATGTTCCTGAGGTGTGCCTATGCACCTGTGTATGTGTGTATGCACATGTCTATGGTGTATGCGTGCACCCAGTCTTGTGTTTGTCAGTGATGTGTCCATGTGTGTATGTGTCATGGTTGGGTATGTACAGCTGTGTCTGTTTATATCTGAACATGTAGCTATGTGTGTGCATGTGTCTGTGGTACCTGTGTGGCATGTCTGCGGTGTAAGTGTGTCTATCTGTGTGTGTTTCTGCATCTATGTATCTCTGGTATCTACCACTGGTTCTCTGGTTCTACCACTGAGCTCCATCCCCAGCCTTAGTTCTTTCCCCCAATAACTCAACATCACCACTGAAGCCATATGGTTACATGGCTATTAGACTGAAGGACTGGCAGGGCCTCTTCTGTCCAGATTTCACTGTAGGGTACAGAGGCTACAAGGCAAAGGGCTGCAAAGGACCGAGTCACAAAGTAAGGGCTCACCCTCTACGGCAAGGGAGGCTAGCAGCTTTCTTGTCAAACATGGCTCATTCTTATCAGGCTTTCTTTTCCTCTCCCCTTAAGACAGTTTAGTCTCAAAGCCTATACTTCACCCTTGGCCTCCCAAGTACTGGAATTACAGGCAAGCACAAGACACTCTCAACTACCACGGCATGCCAAATTCATGCTTGCCAGACTGCTAAAGGAGGGAGGAGCCAAGAGAGCCTCTGAATGAGCTCCCAAATACATCTTTCACTCTTATAAGGTCCATTTCTCCCAAGTAATGGCTGGTTTATTTTAAGACAAGATTTTCTGTAGGCCAGCCTAACCTAGAACTCACTATACAGTCAAGGATGACCTTGAACCCCTGACTCTTCAGCCTTCACCTCCAGAATGCTACAATTACAGCCATGTACTCAGCAACAGTTTTATGCAATGCTGGGGCTACAATCTAGGGCTACCTGCACAAGAGGTAAGCATTCAACCAACTAGGCTACCTTCTCAGCCCCGGAATCTGTTATTAAAGCCCCATCCAATCAGATGTGTTCATGTAAAGAGTAGTGATGGAAGGTATGTCAATCAATCACAACCATAACCTAAAACCCAGCTTAGTATCCAGCCCAAAGCCAGGCCCTGAACCAGAGGCAGAAGGTCTTACCAGTATCCTGACGGAACTGAGTCCAGCTGGGGAGGTCAATGATGTAAGGGGCCAGTGAAGGGTCAACCTGGCCTAAGGGGATACTGTGGGCCAGGCTCCCCAGTCCGTAACGCTGGCCCTTCTGCTGAACAAACTGCTGCTCAATGAAGGAGCAGACAGCGGCGCTGTATGGGTGCCAAGTACCAAGCCCATCCTGCCATTCCCACACAGCCACCAGCACAGGGCTAGGATACACCTGCGGCAGAGACAAGCTTGGGGCCATGGCCATCTTCTGCTTTCCCTGAAGACTTCAGACCACTCTGGGTTGCAGCCTCAGGTTCATTGCCCAGCACCTCCAGGAGACCTGGGAAAAAGACACAGTAGTTACTCATACACACTGGGGACCTTGTCAGGCAGCTCAAGGAAACGAACTTTTCTTGTTTTGAGATAGTGTTTCTCTGTGTAGCCCTGGCTCACCTGGAACTTGCTCTGTAGACCAAGCTGGCTTTAACTCAGGGATCCGCTGGCCTCTGACTCCCAAGTACTGGGATTAAAGGTGTGTGCCCCACTGCCTGGCTGAAAACCAGCTTTTCTCCACCACCTTCAGGATTCCATGGATCAACTCTTGATCCTTATCTCTGCTCTAACAGGATAATTAAAAGTCATTCTTGCGGAGGGTGAGCTAATCCCAAGGGCATGAGAATGGGAGAGCTGACCCTGTCCTGAGAGCAGGCCCCACACTTTATCTGGGTAGTACTACAGAGCTGGTCCTGCTGGCATCGAAGAGGGTAAGCTGGCTCCAAGGGAGCAGGAGAAACGGCTCTGCCCCTTGATGGCTGCAGCACTGGGTAAGGTATGGGTACAGGAGAGCTGATGGGCCAGCCAACTCAGCTACCATGCAGGCTCAGATCCAGGGCACACCCCAACATCTACCCCAAATATGAACTGCTGAAGTATGTGAAAGGGCCAGTACTGCAGATCTAAAGCTGCAGGATCTCCATGACACAGGGTAACAGGGTTCATGATGTGAAATTACAATAAAAAAATTTTTTTAAACTCATTCCTATTGTTTATCCCCACTTCAGCAAACATTCTAAAATAGGACGGGCACACAGTGAAAGTGGGTTGTTGATCTCTACCCAGTTATTTCCTCCTGATTCTACTATATTCTGTTCAGTTTCTTCCTCCCTCCCTTCCTTTTTTCCTTCCTTTGAATTTTGGAATGCATGCTCATAAGACCTGCACATGTCACCATTGAAGTTCCTCTCTGCCACACCCAACCATTAATGGGGAATTTTCAGCGGATGCTCTGTTGCTGAGCCATGCCTCCTGGCACTCAGGATATTGGTGAGTCACCCCAAATCTTTGCGGAGAAGACCACTATGACTGCACTTTTGCATAAGCCCTACAGTTCCCAATTCAGGCCCTATTTGTCAGACAGGGTAACCCCTGCTACTGTCCTCAAGGGTATTCCAGGACACCCGTGGGTAAGACTTGCATACAGGCTCCTAGGCTGTGCTTTACAAAATAAGAACCCAAGTTTAGACTCACAACCCACAAAAACGCTGGGCATGCTACCTGTATCTGTGATCCCAGTGCTATAAAACAAATAGGTGAATCCAGAAAGCTTGCTGGCCACCCAACCCAGCCAAAATGGCAAGCTTCGGGTTCAGTGAGAGTCCCTGTCTCACAGCAGGAAGGTGGAAAGTGATAAAAGGCATCTTAAATCTCCTCTGATCTCTGCATGCACAAACATGCATGCACTCACGCACCTGCACACACACCACACAAAAACAAACAGCTAAGGGACTATCATTGACCACAAAAAAAATCCTAGATTAAAAACAAACAAACAAACAAACAAACAAAACACAACTAAAGTCCTGCCAGGCATGGTGGTACAAACCAGAACTTTCGAGGTAAAGACAGGTGCATCTCTGTGAGTTCAGGCCAGCCTGGTTGACAGAGAGGGACAGCCAAGGTTACACAGAGAAACCCTGTCTTGAAAAACCAAACAAACAAACAAACCCCTCAAGTGTCCCCTGGCTTCTCCACAGCCCCTTCAAGGACCTGTGCCTTGCTCAGCAGCTACCTGACTTCTGTGTGCCCCAGTGACATCCTGCTCCTCTTTCCACTCCATCTTCTCCTGAAAACTCACATGCTCAACTTGTGTGGTTCAGGGGGCATGGCTCAGTGGTGCACAGCCTGCCTAGAATCCCCCAGTGTAGAATGAGCTCACAACCCTGCATACCTTCCCCATGCCAACCAGAACTCTACTAAGCAGGACATACACAATCCTACCCCACCACATAACAACACAATGCATTAGTCACAGCGGTAGGGCCAGCTCCCGGCAGGCATCACATCACATCACACACACACACACACACACACACACACACTAGCCCTAGAACACAGCTGGAGACTATGACGACATAAGGTGCCCAGAGCTGTCCCACGGAAGATCTGCCAGGGCACAGTCCTGCACCAACCAACTCTTGTACCCTGAACTGACAGTGCCTCTTCAGTCTCCTGATTCCTGCACGTGCTCCCTAAGTGCACATCAAATGCGTTCCCTGTTTCACAGGTAGGCTGAAACCAGCCAGATCATATGGCAACAGACACCGGAGCTTCCCAGATGCCACCATCCTTCAACGCTGAGATGAGGGACAAGGCCATGGTCCTACGGAGGAAGAAACAAAGAGGCGCAGGCCCCAATGTCTCTTGCTCTCTCCGTTGGCTTGCTTTCATTTAGAAAATGAAAATATTGACCTTTGTGTTAAGTTATGTTCATGGGAACTAAGCCAGACAGTATAGCACACCCACCCAGCTGGGTGTGGTGTCACATGCCTGAAACCCCAGCACTACGGAGGCTGAGACACGAGAATATGAGTTTCATTCTCTCATTTTGAGTTTGAGGCTGGCCTGGACTACATAGAGAGGGTCTTAAAAAAAAAAGTTAAGGACTGTTGAGATGGCTTAGCGAATGAAGTGTTTGCAATGCAAAGCAGGAGGACCTAAGTCCAGAACTCCAGAACGCATGCAAAAAAATGTAGTGTGTCTGAAACCCCGGACCTGAAGGGGTGCAAACAGGCAGTTTCGGCTTTGATAGCCAGTCTAGCTGAAATGAAACAGAGGCGAACCCTAGGGACAGTGGCAGACAATGAGGTGGGGGAAGGACTGAGAAAAACATCTTGACATCAATATCTGGTCTCCATATGCACACTCACATATATACCTCACACACCACATAACCACATACACACTTTAAAGCTAGGGATGGGGGAACACACCTATAATATCAGGACTTGAAGCATACAGACTGAAGGATCCGAAGTTCAAAGCCAGCCTGAGTTACATGAGAGAATGCCTCCAAAAGACAAACAACAAAAAGCTAACTTATAAAGTATCCACAAAGCACCAAGCCCAAGGCAGACTGGAAGGTGAAGGCCTTTTTTTTAATTAATTAATTTTTTAATAAATTACAATTTGTATCCTGGCTGTAGCCCCCAAAGCCAAAGGCCTTTCTGCTAATTATCCACCAGCACACCCTTCAGGTAGCAAAGGGAAGAGAGGCCACAGTACGCAAACACAAGTAGTGAGTCAGGCCTGTGAGGGCACTGAGCAGAACTCTGGGTGCCAGGCCTGCCACCAAGCCCTCAAGGCCCAGACACTGCCTGAGGATGAGACCTGGGTGACCTGGGCAAGGCAGGCTCAGCCCAGAGTCTACAATCTAAAGGGCCCATAACCTAGCTTAAGCATGGACCAGAGGGTTGTTTACAGAGCCTTTGGCTCCCAAGATGCCAGTCACAGCTTAGGCAGCCAGGGCCTGCAGCTTACAGGTACGTTCAACATGTCGGTCCATCCTCAGATAAACCGGCTCAGAACTCAGCACGACAGTCAGGGGCTGTCAGCAATGTGGGTTTTGGCTTTCTGTGAAGACGTGAAACCACAATGGATCCTGAGGCTACCACCTCCACGGTTGGCCAGAGCCCCCTCATAACAGTCTCCCATCTTTATACCGCATGCCCAGCCACAGCTGACTCTAGCAAGTTCCAGAACATTCCAAGCCATTCCCAGCCATCAACCACCGATTCTGCTGGTGCCTTAGTAAGAAAGCATGCACATCTTTCCAGACTCAATGAGTCTTCCTCCTGAGCCCTCAGGCCCACATCATCACAAGGGAGGTGACTCTAGCTGCCTGTCTCCTTTAGGGCAGAGGCCATAGTCATCCCAGCAGGCCGGCATGACCTCGACTCAGTCTCCTTGAAGGGACAGCGGCTACTGACTCCAATACAGAACTAAAATCTGAAACCCCAGGCAGAACAAATGAGGGGAGACAGAGTTAGTGAGAAGGCTGAGCAGGTAGGCACCTGCCACTAAACCTGGCTACCTGAGTTCAATCCCAGGACTCACATGACAGGAGAAAACTGACTCCTGAGAGTTATCCTCTGATCTCCACCCACAAGCCATGACACACTCACACACAAAATCAATAAACGTAAAAAAAATAGGGAGAGAGCCACCTAGTCCAGGGGCCTGGGCTTTTTTGTGTTGGTGCCTAGACACACCCACTGCTAGCCGCTGGAACCCTGTAATCAAACACAAAGCAGCCCCACGTCAACTCGCCCATTCTCTACCACAGCCCCAGCCAGCACTGAGCTGAGCTTCAAAAACCTAATTTGTTTCGGCACCTAATGGTGGGGCTATTTAGGGTATTCTTAATTATGGAAATTACACTAATTGGCTGTGGGAAAAGCCTCAATCTGGAGGCAATATAAACACCCCACAATATAAGCCGTTCTTTTAATATTGAGGGAGAGCACCCAAGACTGCCACTGAACTAACTATATACTACCAGCCCTAATAATGGAGTTTTTTCTGAAACAGCATCTGGCTCCAAAGCCCAAATTGACCTCGAAGTCCAGGCAAATCTCTTGCTTCCGACTCCGGGAGTTGTTCATAGGCATGAGCCACTATGTCCAGCTCTTTTAAAATTTTTATTATTTATGTTTTTAATTGTGTGACTTGGTGAGTCCAGGTACCTGCAGAGGCTTCAGATCCCCCTGGAGCTAGAATTACAGGTAGCTATGAGCTGGGCTAGGAACCGGATACTCTGGAAAAGCAGGAGGCACTCTTAACAACTGAGCCATCTCTCTAGCCCCTTATTTTATAAGACAGAGCCTCACTCTTTAGTCCAGGCTGGACTAGCAAATCCTGATGCTTCAGCCTCCCAAGAGCTGGGATTATAGGCCTGGGCTACCACCAGCAGCCAGCCCTACCTACTTCATTCTTCAAGTGGGTTTCTAAGCTACCTCTCTGAGATCAGGTGCTTTCCAAGAAACATGGGTCTGAAACTACACA